GGATGTTTGTCTCTTTCAATTAATGCTTTCACCAGAAACATGGATATCACTAATTTTGATTCATATTTAAAATGGTGTGCATGAATAGACCTGTGTATTTTATACCAAATAGAGACACTTCCCTGGAGAGTTCTAAATCTCTATATGTTAACAGCCTAGTTCCCACATCCCTTGTTGACTTTGCTTCCATATTTCCTGTGAAGCCGTGGAACAGTTCTCTTGTTCTTCACAATTTTCCATTTTAATGTAACTCAATGAATAAGGCCAATTCATATCACTGGCTTCCCTAGGTCATTTGAATTCCTTGCAATTTTTAAATCAGCAATAAAGAATAATGGGTTAAATTATCAAATAATGAAAAAGTTGCAAATTATGAGATTTGTTATATAGCTTCGAAATCTTGCTGAAATGTATTTTAACTATATGTTAACAGGCTAAATTCTCATTGAGATAATTTTAAAGAATCTTAAACATTGACTTATTGTTTCAGTGGTCCTATTAAAGTTCATGTGTACACAATCTGAACAACATCCAGTATCAAACACTTCTGATTATCATCAAGTTTCAAACACAATCTGAACATCATCAAATTCAATGCAAATGCAGTTTTACTTTAATCCAACAGAACGAATATGGTAAATCAATAGACTAAGTGACACATGTCAAGTCATTGGTAAATACTTGTATCTAGCCCAACTAGCACAAGTGCTGCCATCTACCGACTAGTATCAATCCATCTATCCATATACATAGCACCTAATGAGGTCACGACTTCAAGTAAAGCTTTTTCCCTTGTCTATGGTAAAAAATAAGTTAAACAGAAAAGTTAGTTTGACACCATTGGTGATGCCCACCTTGTATGGTATAGGGATAAAAGGAAAGTTCATGATAACACTTACATAAAATAATTTAAGTATCTAATAATGATAATGAACATATTACAATGTTACACAATGTTAGTAAATGATAATTAAATGTCAATTATTGTTAGTGTAATATGTATTTTTTGCTTAATGCTGCAACAATTACACAAGTTCCAAAAAGTGCCACGCCCACTTTTCCCTAAAAGTAGTTGTGTGTGACAATATTTGACAGATATTATTGATTTATTGGAGCATTATATCAACTTTTTAGTGCTTTAGTGTGAATATATACATATTTATACAACTTTTAACAAAGTTCCAGCCACAAAATCCAAACAAATTTGCAAATATTTCACTTTGAGGGCTAAGGGACATATTTTGAAGGAGGTCAAATTGAGAAGATTTTGAGATATAAATACTGTTTCCATGGTAACCATATAAGTTAGAGATTGGACATTTCTGGCACTGACTAACCATGGTATGCTCTGCCTACTATAAAACTATGAATATATGACATGCATTAGTATTCTTTTTATCAGGTGGTATTAAAGTACCCCCAAGGTTTTCTTAGGGTGGGGGTATGAATTGGCCTGAGGGCCGTCTGCCACCCCTACATGAAGTCCAACTACCCAGAAAGTGCCTAGCATAATCATACAGACTGTTTGAAATATGTTGGAATGTGTGACCTTCCATGAAAAATGGAAGTTGCAATTATCAGAGTAGTCCACAGTCTAAGAAGAAGGTAGGCCTGCCACAGCCGTCCATACGTACAATACTACTGGTCATTAGAGAGATTTCGCACATAAGTGAAAGTACAACTTATACGTATAGTTTAAAGGGTCATGTCGAACTATTATATTTACTAAAATCAATTTTAAATTGTACTTAATGGAACATAACTATTCCCGTTATAGAAAAGCTCCATCAACTAGAGACTGTGAATGCACTGTAATCTGCACGTGTAGATTATGCACATTATAATTAAATGCTTGCTTCCGTGTCCTTGTAGTTGTAGTGTATTATAAACACGATCCTTTAAAGGGAGTCATGATTCTTTAAAGTGAGTCATTACATAAACAAGTTGATTATTTCAATGTTTTCATGATCAGTATAAGTTCAATGAACTTACAAAACGGTATATTTACGTAGATGATAACGTATACAGTTGGATCTCCGTATAAAGATTTGCCTACATGTGTGTGGAACAATTGACCACAAGCATTTTTTTTAATTAATTGGCTGAGTGGGAACAGTATCCAATCAAACACTTTAACCATTAATTTGAAACACCAATCAAACCAGTAGGTTCTAGCAATTCCTGGAAACGACCCATTCAGTAGCTCAGCATATGACATACAGGGTGTTTCATAACGAGCATCTCCAAAAAGTCAATTTGAGAAGAGATGGGTCAATAACATATGTACTATATATGAGTCTATTTTATTCTAGACAAACACATTTGGATCAACTAAACATGCTACAATTCAAGAAAGTACAAATGGCATCCCTTTGACCTGTATTTATTACAGTCCGAGAAGATCTTTCCTGACGAAAAGCCCACATTATGAAACACCTTGTACGTTTACCTATAAGTATAAGTATACGTTATAAGTTGTACTTTCACTAGGTGCGAAATCTCTCTATTATCCGCTATTATTTAGGAAAAATACAAAGTCAGAACATAAACTGTAATGACGTTATGTTGAGTAATCCAGGAGTTAAGAGTCTATCGGACACTAACATCGTCCCGTTTTCCCATGTTACTGTCTTTTTTGTTTTATTGTTTTTCTTTGATTTGATGGTCAGATTCATTTTTTCATCTTTCTATATAATCCATTTAAATGTTAGCATTACATTTTCGCGTGTTGTATCGCTGTGTATTGCCATTATTTTAAAACCAGTCGTACGAAGACTTAAGAAATAAATAAATAAAACTGATTTATGTTGATGTTTTTTTAATGCCCATGCGCGGATTGTTAAACGTGATTTAGTCTCTTATTTACAACAAGATAATGGTTTTTGAGTACACAAATGACAATGTCCTGGTATATCAGTATGATGTTACTGATTTTTATTTTTATTTTATGTTGGTACTTTTATACTTTATATCTGTTCCTGCGTACCAACTTCGATAACATCTCAGTATTAAAAGAGATCGACGGATTGACCGAATTGATATCGGCATTCGTGATTCATATAAGTTTGTTTTTAGATCGTTAATGAAGTATTCTGATGGTGAGTGATGGGAAGCCATGTGACACTGTTGACTCGGTATACGTGATCAATGGTGTTATGTTGGGGTTGTTTTCCATTCTTGCTGTTTTCTTACATATCGATTAGTGTCAAAGAACTGAAGTTTTTAACTTTGTCATTCTGTATTTATTTTATTCTTCATTTATTTTATAATACCTAGTTCACACTTGCTCTGATTTTCATAACCTTCAAAATTGAACTCCGTTTTGAATAAAATATTCATCGGCCGGGTGCCGGCCGGTGTAAAAGGGTAGGAGGTCCTATCAAACGATGGTCCTACTATCCATTGATTTATATGGTGACCTAAATAAAACTCTTTCCCTTAATATCTTATACACAATTAGGGCCAGTAAGGGCCGATTAGAAAGGGGACCATAGTCCCCCGGGGACCATAATTTCTTTCACATCGGTATTGACAATTCAATCGGAGCAAATGTGACCTTAAGGATGTACGAAGTTTACTGATACAAGGTTTTTATGTTTGTTCTTGGTATCCGATCCTGTCTATAGTTTTTTTTAGGTTAATCATCTATACGTGTTTTTTTATAATTTTCATCATTCGTAATATCTCATTTCAAATTCACGATGTAATTCCCAGCTAATTACTGTTACTAAAGCTTTTATAATTGCGTTTATCCATCCGTCAAGGTGTTTAATACTGTTTATATATATATGATTTATTATTACGTGTAATAACAGCTTACGTAAATTGATATATCATAGATCTCACATACAAGGAAGTCAAGGAAGTACCTGTAAATTAACAGCTGAATGCATCTTAATAATGTCTAAATTGAAACTAATTGGGTACTCAGCAATCACCGGCGCACTCGTAAATCGTAATATCGGAATTTGAATCGCGATTTAATTTCCCGTTTTTTACTTTTCTAGAGAGGTCTTGTTTTGTCCTGTCTCACATTGATAATGAATACAACACTGCAATATTTTTATGTGTAACTTCCATTTCAGATGACATACAGTGCCTGACGTTTTTCGCTTTTTGCGAAGATTTACTATTGCATGAAATTGTTGTAATGTGAAAAAAGTATATATCTCAAACGTATAAAAACTCCTAAAAGGAACGACACTTCATACATGTTTTTATCCCACCCTAAGTGCTTTATATGATTGTAAAATAGCATTGTATAACTGCAGTATAAAACCAACACTTATTGTATACAACTCTTGAGAACGATATACAACTCCTGGATAGCGTATACGTATACAACCCCTGGGCAGCGTATACAACTCTTCGACTTTATATACAACTGTTGAATTTAGATTTACCTTTTATTGATTAGAGATAGGGGTGGGATAATTAGATCATATAATGGTTGATTCTGTTATATATGAGTGAGTATCATATATTCACTCGTTCCCTTTAGTCACTCGTGAATATATCATATACTCACTTGAGTGTAAACACGATATACGGAATCAACCATTATATAACCTCATAATATATAATATACTTGGTTGTTCATGGTGGATTCCTACTTGCAACGTTTTAAACATCAGTCGCATTCTAGAATTCAACTGCCGGCGGACGGTATAACCTTCTTTTTATGGCCACTTATTTAAATATGAATGGAAAAGTGACAGGAACTATTATTATTTAATAAGTTGACCATAAAATATAGGGTGTTAATCCGTCAGTCGGCCGATTAATGTGCGTATGCAACCTTTCTTACGTACATACCTCATACGAATATGCATATTTCGGAAGTTGTTCATATATGGGTGTTACGACCGATGTTTAATCCAAGTCAAGAAAATGAATAACTTACATATACATTAAGTCCGTCCATAGGTGGATGTAATACGACCAATGTTTTCAAATACATACGTTCCTTTATATATACATGTTTCGTTCGGTGTTCACAGGTGGATGTCCTACTCAGAATGTCGTAGCTCACTTGGTGAGCGAGTGCAACACGGAATACTCCATATTTAATGAGGACGAAGACGACTATGGAATTGGCTGGGCTCCCGCGAATGGCACAAATAACAAGTAAAAAAGTTTCCATCAATTCAACACATTTATCTGTGTAATATAACACTAGTAGACCTGAGCCAAAAAATCAAAAAGGCCTTTGTTAGATTTTAATGTCCGTTTTAAGAACCTTTATTCTTACTATGGAAAATGAATCCTTGCAATTGTGTGTTTCGCCCTGTAGCAATAATATAACACGTGTAATTGGTGAGACTCGATGAACTTGAGTTCTTCTGAGAAAATGTGGATTTTGCATCTATCCCTGTGGTGACATGCATAATGGTATCCCGATGCTAAGTCAATAGTCAATGGTGTATATCCCCATTTTAGGTCAATGCAACCTTGCTGAAATTTTCTCACGAGAACCCAAGTTGATCGAGTCTCAACAAGTAGATTTATGTGGGATAATGTTGCTAGAATCTAATGTTAATAGTAAGAATAGGGGTTCTTTTTGGGCTTGCATTTCGATCTTTTTGTTGGCTCTATATTTAAGTTTGAGTGATATAAAATGATGATCATTGCTTCGATTACCAAGAAACAAAAATCCACTTACATATATTGTTCCAGTTACACGTTTCCGAGCAAAGTATTGGTTGCATCAGAGATGCCATATTTCTCAATTTTCTCACAATATTATAGGATTCGGTATTATTTGATAAAGCATGATTTTGGATCGGAAAATCTAAAATCTCTTTTGAGATATATCCCAGTCAAATTGCTCGTCAACGTGCGATATTGTCATTGATTTTTCATAATGCATGGATTTAAAAAATAATATGGATGCTTTGTATCGACTTTTTAAACACTAAATTTTCAGGACCGAATACAAGTATATGACATCTGGAGAGCTTGATACATACCCGATATGGGGAAAGCTTGCTATGTACGGCGGAGGTGGATACGTTGTTAAATTAACTGGCGACATGTACGCTCTAGAAGATCGTATAGAGGAACTGAGACAGGTTTGCCATTTTTGTTATTAGATATATTTACGAGAACCAATCCACAATTAATATTCCAAGAATCTTTACTAATACTTTAGAATGTTAAAGTTTTAGGATCACCTCAAAATTACAATCAATTATTAACCAAAAGAAATAGGCATAGCTACAGTCTTTGAGGCAGAAATGTATAATTTGGACGATTTATAGATCGAAACTGATAAAATAAGGTTGATTCTAGTTACACTCTTAGAACCAATTTCATCAAAATGATTATTGATGGTTTACAACTAACCTTTGATGATACTATTCTTAATAAATGTAATATTCAAAACAACATCAAAGAATTAAAATTGTATCCATGTTATAAGATATAATATGAATATAAAAAAATCCAATACTGATTCTAATTTCTAGGATGAATGGATTGACAAATACACCCGTGCTGTTCTAATTGAGTTCTCCGTGTATAACCCATATGTTAATATATTTGTGTCCTCTGTAATGATATGTGAATGGATTCCAAGTGGGGGAATATTTGTCTGGTTCAGGTAAGTACTTTATTATTATTCATAAGTTGTTCAATCCCAATTCCGATTGGTCTTAAAGCGGTCCATAGTTTTATTTATTATGTATATGTATTCACTCAATATGGGCTTGTTGCCATATGATATGAAATAGATCTGAAAATATTGTATATTCATGCTTAAAAGTAAGGTGATTATTGTTTTAAACCTGGTGTCTGTTTTGATTGTTTCAAATTGACATTTTCCATCGCATAGCCAAATATTTTACAGTTGTATTCTCTATGGACAGCCAGATAATTAATTTGAAATCTATTTTGAAAGTAAATTCAGGAAATCGGAAATCATCACTATTTAACAATTTATCATTGTGCATTTCATGCAATCATTTTGAAAAAGTATCTGTTTGCCTTGATAGAGTGATTCTGTAGCTCTTACACCATTTGTTGCAATTACTGACCCATTTTTGGGGGGGGGGTAAAAACTCAGTTTCAAGGACACTGTGCTCTTTATGAAAGGATTTTTAAAGGTATATATGAATTAACACTTAATTTGATTTTTGTATTTAAGATTTGAACCCCTCAATCTGCTGTCGTACTATACATCTTCAATGTTGTTCCAAGTTGCCTGCGAGATCGTCTATGTTTTGTTTATCCTTTACTTCATCGTACATGAGATAAGACAGATCTATAGAGAACGATCGAAGTACTTCAAACAATTCTGGAACTGGGTAAATATTAATTTTTTGAATGTGGATTTCAGAATAAAAAGTCTATATTACTTATATGACAGGTCTTGTTAAATCATTTGGCAAAAATCTTTGAAATAAACCATGGCACATATTCTTCTACATCCAAAACAGTGGTTATATCGGCCAAAATTGACGATGTCATAGGTTACAGGTAGCAACGTTTAAAAATCTAAGAATTTCCTCAAGATCAGCGATAATTTATCATTTTTTGCTTTGAAAACTGTCTATATATAACCTTTGGCATGTGGGCCAGCCCAATATACTCGAACCCATCTTCTTTACATCTGATATAATGATGATTAGTACAAAGGTCACACTAAACACTTGTTGGCATTTTGTTTATTGTTTTATCCTTTAGAATACAAGCCATTGGTCATTTTTTGATCATTCTCGTTATTAAACTGATTAATCCAAGAAATGAATAAATAATACTAAAACATGATAAATAATCGATATATTTTTCAATTTTACAGGTTGAGGTGATCGTGATTGCATTTTCACTGGGAGCGTTGGCTACATACTTCTATCGTCTCATCATCACCAATGGGTTAACGGAAAAATTTATAAAAAATGGAAGCAATGGTCACAACAACTTCCAATATGTAGCATATTGGAACGAAATGCTGATGTACATGGTCGGATTCTTATGTTTCATTGGTACATATTTTAGATATCTTTTAAAGCTGCAATGTATGTGTTTGTCAGTTGATGTTTTGATTTGTATGTAAGCATGGGGACAAATGCTAATGACGAAGCAACAACAGGTTAGGAATTGATCATTTGTAAGGCTTTCAGATAATGAATTGCATGTCAGGAATCACGAAATTGTAAGCTAAATGATAGATTCTTTAATTAACTGAGACCAAAATAAGCAAAGTAATTGTTATTGTATGTTTTATTGTTTAATACCAATGTAGATGGTCAATGACTCCTGGGTGCAATGACTCCTAGGTACACGTATATATGTCGTACCTTTTGATTTACTCATGCAATCAGCAAAAAACTAGGAATCATTAAAGTACCCCTATCTTAGTTTATGTATACTCTTAAATATACATAAAGGATCATTTAATCAAACACGTTGAGTTCCTTGTATCGAAATCTTGATGACTGAGACCAAAATAAGCAAAGTAATTGTTTTATTGTTTAATACCAATGTAGATGGTCAATGACTTCTGGGTACAATGACTCCTAGGTACACTTATATATGTCGTACTTTTTGATTTACTCATGTAATCAGCAAAAGAACTAGGAATCATTAAAGTACTCCTATCTTATTTTATGTATACTATTACATAGACATAAAGGATCATTTAATCAAACACGTTGAGTTCCTTGCTAGACCAAAATATGTTGTATAAATTACACGGGAAATACATGTAAATGTTTACTATTCTTATTATTCTATAGGCACAATCAAATTTATACGGCTTCTCAGATTCAACAAACGAATGTCTCTTCTGGCTGCAACATTGAAACACGGCGCAACACCTCTTATGGCGTTCGGAATCATATTCTTCATTGTCTTCTTCGCATTCGTCCAGTTCTTCTTCCTTCTCTTGTCGAAGGAGTTGAATAACTTCAGTTCGATCATCAACAGCGCTGAGACAACAGTTCAGATGATGTTGGGAAGGTTCAGTTTCAACAGTATGAAGGACGCCCAGCCTGTCCTGGCCCCGTTCTTCTTCTTCTTGTTCATTATCTTCATCTACCTGATTTTGATCAACATGTTCGTGACGATTCTCAATGAGAGCTTCAGCGTGGTAAAGAGTGATATCGACAAACAATCAAATGAATACGAGATGGTCGACTTTATAATGCAGAGGTTCAAGGGCTGGACTGGATTCGGAGGTGAAGAGAACGGGAAGAAACCGACGAAGGGTCAAGATGAGAAAGACCTCGCTGGTAGGATTTAGCGTGTATACAGTATATAATTATATTAATATGAATAAATAAGCACATTTTCTATTTGTGTATCATTTCTTTTAATTGCAAATTGCAATATTTGTCTTCTTCCCAGTGCTTCTAATAAACATTTTATGTCATAGGATAAAGCGAATAACCAAGAGTCATCGTCATGGTAATACAAATTTAAAACCAAAAACAGAAACATAAATGAAGTATGTTGAAAATGAAAGGAATGTATACATTTGAAAATATATATACCCCTTTTAGGAGGCGTGTCCCCTGCCTACCAAAAAGAGATCGACAATTTCCCTGACAAGGTCGAGCGACTCCTTAACTGTATCAGCAAAGTCTACTTCGACCAGGACCGCTTTGACCAGATATTCTTGGACTCAAGAAACATGAACATGACGTCAAAGGAAGCATTGAAGGAACTTATGAAGGATAAAGAGGCCAAAAAGACAATCGGCGAGGCCTCTGGACGTAAACGCATGAAACAACCATCCATGACTGAAGTTGAACATTTAGAACAGTCAATCTACAAACTGTAAGATTTCTCAATTGGAGCAGATATTGCAAGCAGATTGGACTGAAATGTTTATCCTTAAAATAATTGATCATAAATATTTGTTTTAGAAGTGATTAATACGAGTCAAGATTATTATCTTTAAAAACCATCTGACATTCAGCTTAACATCATCCGTCCAGATATTTGAATATTCCTGCCATGTTTTAAACATTTAATACTTGTATTTATTAGTTTTTTATTTTCTATATTTCCTTTCAAATTATGTTTACTCAATCCGTCCAGATATTCTATATAGACATTTCTCAGGCTTTCACTCCGTCCCCTTATCAGAAATCCGTCCATTTTCTGAAAACTGTTTTATCTAACTGTGATAATATCATCCAACATTTTTTGGTTTTGTCTTGTTGAAACATCTCTATATTGTGTCGTACCTTAAACAGTGTTATTTAATTATTTGATGAAATAGTGTGTTCATCGAATCAATATGAGTAATGTGAATGTAATATCCTCTATCAACTATGACGATGTGAGTCTATGTATTATTGTTAAATATCTAGATATGTTAATGCATTGATGGAAACTTGACAAAAGTCAACTTCAACGTGTATTCAATTCATTCCTTTTCAATCATTGAAAAGTAATGATTGAAATGCAATGTCTGTATTTCAAGCCCCCCACCCCTCCCATTTAAATCAATTCAGAAATGTGATTAGCTGCAATGAAGCCATTTCGGTTGACAACACTTCTAATGGAAAGCCATGTAAATGTAAATTCAGTACGGGAAATTAACTATTTTTAATATTTCGGTTAACATGTGTCCTCACATTATCGCTTGCGCAGTGTGTATTTTCTTATATAGGAATATCTGATATGTATGTCAAACGTGCGAACCATAAGGTGAGCTGGTCTGCAAATGATTGGCACGTTTGATTGGATCGAAAAATTGGACGAAAATTGAACATTCTATCAACGTACCAAAAATAAGCACTACTTAGGAAAAACTAGGAAATGGGGGCTTGGAATACACAATGTAAAAAGGACATATGATTCACTGATTAAGAAATGCTTCTTGTTTTTTTTGTATTCTTAGCAATATCTGTGATAGAATAATGCCGCCCGAGCAATGCTGTGATAAAATTATTCGTTCATACCATATGTTATAAATTATATAAATCTTGGATAAGTGCTTGATTACTCGATGCTATCTTTCCTATTATTGGCTCTGTCAATATGAACTTAATATTTACATTATCTTTTCTATTTCTTTTAGTATGTTAATAAAATTACTCTTTAATTGCAAAACGGTGTTTGTTATACAATCGAATAAACGTTATAATGTTGAACGTAATGGCGATACCATTTTCCCGTTTTTAGTAGTAGTTATCTCTAGGATAAGCTAGACATGTCTCCCTTGGATAATATAGCATAACTGATTTCAGATTTCAGCCTGGCAAAATATGTCTCAAACCTATCATTTAAGCCAAGCATGACTGTCAAATACAGCTCTGACCGATTGTTTAGGTTGGTGGAGGACATGGTTAAGTAATTAAATTTGGAACTTGAATATTCATATTTACAGAAGCTGTTGAAATAAATTGTTTTTCAATTTTATAAAGTATTGAAGATAATGCAAGACTAACCCCCCTATCACACCAAACTAGTTCTTACCCGTTCTTGCCAGTCCTACGAAAACGTCGTCAAACGGGCTCAATCTGGCTGTGGTCGGGAAATATGTCTGAAATAATTAGCTTCTTCGTTCTTAAACAGTCTTCAATACGTCCATCTCGTTCGCAGTTCGTTCAGGTCGCACCACGTCGGAGTGCAACGTCGTAGAACGCGTCCCTTAGTCTAGAAGGTCAACATGACCTGATTACAGAACGGTACGGTCGTCATCGAATTTTGAATCGATTCAAAATTCTAAAATCACATTCCCGTCTGAGAACGTTCATAAAGTTCGTAGATAGACCTTAGAAAGTTGCAGCTACGTTCATTCCCTTCGCACACAGTTTAAAACCAGTTTTGAAGAACGCAGTGGCAACTTGTTTGGTGTGATAGCTATATTTTTGCTAACTCGTTCATAAGCAGTGTTAAATACGTTCTTAATCAGTTTAAACCCGTTTGCAATTAGTTCTACCTCGTTCTCAACACGTCCGCAGACAGTTCAACTCGTTGTTAAAACGTCCCGAGTAGGATTGAAGTACGACGGTTCCGTTCGTAGTACGTCCAGCTCGTCGTTAGTACGTTGTCACTCGTTCTAATTGTAGAACGTGACGACCACGAGAACATTTTGAACATTGTCTAAGTTCTAGAGGACCTACCCGTTCGAGTACGTTCGATGAAGTTTGTAAATAGATCCCAAACGGTTCTTAGTAGGTCCAGTCCGTTCGTATACAGTTGAAGCCCGTTTTCGAGAACGCAGTGAGAACTAGTTTGGTGTGATAGTAGGGTAACAAAAAAGTTACAATCGATGGAAAAATGTCCCAATTTTTTACTCAACTTAAGGGTTTCCTTCCTTCACCCACCTGAACAATCAGTCTGAGCTGTTGACAGTCATTCATGGCTTAAATGACATCGTTTGAGACATATTGTGCCACTTTGGAAAGGACCTGAGGTCAGTTAAGCTATATCATTCAAGGGAGACATGTCTTGCTTCTCCTAGAGATAACTACATATAGTTTTGATTGATGGAAATTGTGTTGAGACCGTTTGAAGGGTACATATTGTATGGTATGAAAAAACTGTCCTTAATTTCAGCAGTGATGTCTCACGCAGCAAAAATTTTGAAATTCTTCATGGCACACGCATAATACAGAGCATGACCATAAGAAGCCAAAAATAAACACGCATGCATATTTTCATCTTTAACATTTCCACAAATAATCATTTTACCGTTATCTGGATTTTTGTGACTGCAATAATAAAGAAAACTGAATAAATAGAAAATGTTCCAATTTTTATTGTCCATTTTATAATTTTCCCCTTACCCCCCTATCACACCAAACTAGTTCTTACCCGTTCTTGCCAGTCCTACGAAAACGTCGTGAAACGGGCTCAATCGGGAAATATGTCTAAAATAATTAGCTACTTCGTTCATAAACAGTCTTCAATACGTCCATCTCATTCGCAGTTCGTTCAGGTCGCACCACGTCGGTGTGCAACGTCGTATAATGCGTCAAAATTCTAAATCCCATTCCCCGTCCGGAAAAGTCCATGAAGTTCGTAAACAGACCATAGAACGTTGTAGCTACGTTCATTCAGTCCGCACACAATTTAAAACCGATTCGGCAAAGTTTTGAAGAACGCAGTGACATCTGGTTCTGTGATTTTTTGTTAATTCGTTCATAAGCAGTTTTTAATACGTTCACCTCTGCAGTACGTTGGTATCAAGTTTAAGTCGGGCTAAATTGTGCGTTCGTCTCGTCTACATAACGTATCGAAGCAGTTCAATTACGTCCTTAATCAGTTTAAACAAGTTGAAAATTAGAATTAGAACTTTATTAGAACCTACTGTGAACCTTTATAAACGGGAAGGACGTTATTCGATCGAGTTGGGTCTGTCTACGAACAGAATGAACGAGCTACAAACGGACTAGATTAGGGTACTCAAGTACGACACTTCCGTTCGTAGTGTGTCCCCAGTGCGTCCAGGTCGTTTTAAGTACGTTGTCACTCGTTCTGATTGCAGAACGTGACGATCACCAGAAAATTTTGAGCATGCTCTAAGTTCTGGAGGACCTACTCGTTCGAGTAGTTTCATGAAGTTTGTAAACAGATCCCAAACGGTTCTTAGTGGGTTCTTAGTACGTCAAATCCGTTCGTGCACAGTTTAAGCCCGTTTTCGAGAACGTAGTGAGAACTAGTTTGGTGTGAAAGTAGGGTTATGGCTGCCATTTTATGCTATACATGCATCAAAAAATCCTTTAATTTTGAACATCGCATTGAGCACTGTTTTCATGTTAGATTATTCCACTGCCTCTTACCAGGCATCGTCTAAATCATGTATAGAGCTATATTTACATTCACACATATTGTATGTAGTTAGGCAAGGTATGTTCGATTCTGGACAATCTGAACACAGTATTCTATATAACTGCACTAAATTATATAACCCCCATATCACACCAAACTAGTTCTTACCCGTTCTTGCCAGTCCTACGAAAACGTCGTCAAACGGGCTCAATCTGGCTGTGGTCGGGAAATATGTCTGAAATAATTAGCTTCTTCGTTCTTAAACAGTCTTCAATACGTCCATCTCGTTCGCAGTTCGTTCAGGTCGCACCACGTCGGAGTGCAACGTCGTAGAACGCGTCCCTTAGTCTAGAAGGTCAACATGACCTGATTACAGAACGGTACGGTCGTCATCGAATTTTGAATCGAGTCAAAATTCTAAAATCACATTCCCGTCTGAGAACGTTCATAAAGTTCGTAAATAGACCTTAGAAAGTTGCAGCTACGTTCATTCCGTTCGAACACAGTTTAAAACCAGTTTTAAAGAACGCAGTGGCAACTTGTTTGGTGTGATAGCTATATTTTTGCTAACTCGTTCATAAGCAGTGTTAAATACGTTCTTAATCAGTTTAAACCCGTTTGCAATTAGTTCTACCTCGTTCTCAACACGTCCGCAGACAGTTCAACTCGTTGTTAAAACGTCCCGAGTAGGATTGAAGTACGACGGTTCCGTTCGTAGTACGTCCAGCTCGTCGCTAGAACGTTGTCACTCGTTCGAATTGTAGAACGTGACGACCACGAGAACATTTTGAGCATTGTCTAAGTTCTAGAGGACCTACCCGTTCGAGTACGTTCGATGAAGTTTGTAAATAGATCCCAAACGGTTCTTAGTAGGTCCAGTCCGTTCGTATACAGTTGAAGCCCGTTTTCGAGAACGCAGTGAGAACTAGTTTGGTCTACTAATTGGTCTAACTAAATCTACTAATAAGTCAAGTTGCAGATTATAATTTGGCCCAAAGCTAGAAAATATAGCCTAGTTTAAATAAGTTTCTTCGATTTGGAATTTGTTTTGTAAATGAAGCTGTAATTCATATATTAGCCCCTCGCATCTTTCTAATGGGTAGTCCGGTTTCACCTGTGTTAGCCAACATTTACATGGAGTGGTTAGAGGAACAAGCCATTGACACAGCGCCCCCAGGTTGTTGTTCCCCATCATTGTACAAAAGGTATGTAGATGATCAAATTGTTGACAACGACCACGTGGATGAATGGATAAATCATATGAATTCTATAGACGTTGTGAAGTTCACAGTAGAAGAAGAATCAGAGGGAAAATCACACCATCCTCTTGCACACAAAATGTCGGTAATTTCTACGTTAATAGGAAGAGCAGATTTGATTTGCAGTGAACAGGAGGAAAAAGTAGAAGAAACGTCAAATGTTGAAATAGCATTAGAAAGATGCGGTTATCCAAAATGGACTATTAAAAAGACACAGGAACGTTTTGAACGTAAAGTAGATACAAATAAGGACAAGACAGAAATTAAAAAGGTAGTAACCATGTCAAAAATGTATCAGAGCAAATTAGAAGAATAATGAAGAAAAAGATATCAAAGTAGCTTTTAAACCTATGCAAACACTTCAAAATATTCTCGTTCATCCTAAAGATAAGGTCAAACAGGATTGCAAAGCGAACATGGTATATCAAGTTGTATTCAACAATTGTAATAAAAGTTACATAGGAGAAACAAGTAGACATCTTGGCACTCGCATCAATGAACAAAAAACAGAAACAGATAAGAAAAAGAGTCACTACACTAGAAACGATAAAAAAGATTCTTTAACAGCTTTAATAAATCAGCGATTACAGAACATATTCTCCAAGATAACCACGAAATTGATTGGAACAATTATAAAATAATTAGTACAGAAAGGAACAGAAACAATTCACACTAGAAAACATAAAAACTTCAATGGAGACATGGGCAACTTCAATCTAGATCGCTTGTGGGATGAAGTTATGTTGCCATAGCAATTATTCATTTTTTTAACGTTGTTAAGGTTTAATGTACCCTGCGTGCAGAGTCTAGTTAAACTACACGTGAAGACGAAGCTCTCTTTTAAGAAGTGAAGTCAAACGAATGCAAAGGGTAGGTTTAATGACGTTATAACTTAGATTTAAATTTACCTGTATTCATTTCAACTGTTTTCAATTTAAATTTAGTGATTATGGATGCAGTTTGCATTCGAAACGTCAAAAACAAAAAAATATAATAAAGTCTGTGACAATGAACACTTATACAAAAAATGAAATTGGTCCGTCTAATAACCGAGAAATCAAGCATTACTTATTCTACTTCAAAAACATGATTTTACAAACCAAAGATTTATGTGCATTTATTCATCGTGGTAAAGCATGGCTAGCCACACGTTAAGCACACCATTGGCAAGTTATTTTTGCGATTTTATATATCATAATCATATTTACCAGAACAAATTAGAGAAT